GCCGCGGAATACGCGCGCCTCGGCGCCCTGCTTCACCAGCTCCAGGCCGCTCAAGAAACGGCTGTTCCGCTCTCTGGCCGCGGCCAGCGCCTCAGCCTCCGGCGCGGGATCCAGACTCGCCTCAGCCATGGCCCCAACTAGGGAATTCGGTCCTTCCGTTCTTCCGGAAAACTGACTGCGGAGCTTCCGTCCGCTCCGGAAATCCTCCGACCTCTTCCGCCACTCAATATCTCCCCCTTCGGCACTTCTGCTCTGTAAAAGTGGTTCCGGCTCGCGACCTTTTCACTTCTTGAAGTGTTCATTACCTTTCCGGATCGGATTCTTCGGGCTCACCGGCTAACTCTTCGTGTATCTCCGTAAATTTTCGGCAGCTCTTGGTGAGCCGCGCTTTCCCCACTCCTCGGCTCTCTCCTGAAACCCTCGGTGTTGCCCGAGACGGGCTTTGGAGCGTGTCCCCCTGCGTCTTGCTTCTTTTGAAAACTTCAGCCTCTGTCCAGGAAAATGTTGAGGAACGCCGCTCTCCTTTCAGGAGTCTAGATCCTGCAAAGCTTCCTACTCCACCCCGTAATCTCATTTTTTGACTCCTCCACCTTTGACTCGAGAATCCCCCACCCACCCACACGCGCGCACACACTCACACACCCACCCACAAGAGCATACACGCGTCAGAGTCCGACGGAGGGTGACCATGAAACATTTCCTACAGCGTCTTAGGGGTTAGGATATCTACCCGTTACAGGATGAAAACTGACTTTACAGAAAAGAAAATTAAGACTCAGGGCGGTGGGGGTGGTGAGATTGTGGGGGAGAGGAAGAGAGGAAATCAAAAGTTTTCCAGAGACAAAAGCTATGGATTCGGAGTAATTAACTTTCTGTTTCTGTTTCATTACAAAACTAGTATGAGCTGTTGACAAGAATTCAATTTTACAATACAGAATTCAGTATGCACACACAAAGCAAAGACTCTATCCTCACCAGTCTATGCCACCGCTGAGCACTTTGTAGGTTTTTTTTTTTTCTAGACTTTTATTTTTTGGACATTGCAAATATTCACACTCATATAGTTGTGATCCCTCTCCCCAGCATAAATGAGATCATAATGCATTGTTTTGCTTTTTTGCCCTAAGTAATTTGTCCTTAAGAGTTTTCCACTTTAGAATATGTAGAAGTACCCATTCTTCTACTTGGAAACACAGAACACTTCCCTGTTGCTAAGCTGTTATTAAATATTTTTGTTACATTTTTAGTTTGGCTTTCTTTTCCCTCACAGACTGCTGCAGTTGACTTATCCAGGCATCTTTGCAAACATGCTTGAATGGTTCTGGAAATATTTTTCTACAAGTGAGGTTGCTGGGTCATAGCACTCACCAGCTAGGCTATGCTCCCAACATTCTGTGTCTGTTTTCGCTTCTATCCAGAGTGCACCTCATTTCCTTGTACCTTTGCCCTCATAGCCTCCCAGGTTTGGGGCTCAGCCAGGTGGAGGAGTGGGAGGGTGGTCAGGCCAGGTAGAGAGAAGAGACCCTAGTCAGAATTGGGGTGAACCAGCAGCAGCTGCTGGAGCACAGTGGTGCTAGGAACGATCTGGGAGCTGAAAGGGCAGAGGCAGTGACCTAGCCCCAAAGGACACTTCTTGCTGGAAGGGAGGTGCTGAAAGGCTGGGGTGGCAGTGTGTCTCCAGGCAGAAAAGCCAGGCAGTAGGAAGGGAAAGGATGGTGGGGGCATGGATGCTCAGCCTTGACCTCTTTCTGAGCCTATAGTCTCTTCCCCACTTCCTGCATGTCAGCCCCAGATGCCCATTCATTCATTTATTCACAAATCCATTTCAATTTGTTGAGTGACTTCTACATATAATCCAGATTTTAAGGCCCTGGGGTCACAGCAGTAAACAAAATGAAGGTTTATTACTGTCTTCGTGGAGTTTGTATTCAAGTCAGTGGAAATAGATAATAAACAAATACATACGGTAAATACATAGTTGGTAGGGAAATAACAGGTGGGGAAAACAAATGGGGCGGAGGATTGGGTAGGATCACGTGGATACCACTTTGCCAGAGACGTTCCATTTGTGCCTCCGTTTCTGGTATAACTATTAATAGCACCCTCTTTTTATTCATGAAAACATCCTGGTTTTACAGTGCAGTACCCCATGGATAATAGAGTGGAGGAGAAGAGCAATACATTTTAAAATAAGTGGTTGAGAAAGTTTCAGTGAAGAGGTGACATTTAAGCCCAGCATGGTGGTATATACCTATAGTCTCTGCACTCTGGGAGGCTGAGGCAGGAGGATTGAAAGCTTGAGGCCAGCCTGGGCAGCCTAGCAACTTAGCAAGACCCTGTCTCAAAATAAAAGATTTTTAAAAAGTGTAGAGATATGGCCGAGTGTGTAAGCCCTGGTTCAGTTCTTATCACTGCAAAAATTAAAGCAAGTTATTATCTATATTACAGGATTTTTTTGAACATTTAATGAGAAATCAGAAGTAAAGCACCTAGAATTGTGCCAGGCAAATGATAAGCATTCTAGAAATGGAAGCTATTATTATTTATGGAGTGCTTAATGCAATAGCGATTATAATTTGATTTTTCTTGTGGGGACAGTGGCTTCCCCCATTGTGACATGTCTGGAGGGAACACTGAGACCCCTCTTCTACCCCATCCATTATGTGGTTTGCAACAAGAACCCGAGGGATAGCACCAGTGGGTGAGAGCATGATTACTGTACAGCAGCAGACAGGATAAAGCTCTTTTACATGAATAACCTAACATAGATGCTTAAATGTGAGAGATGTGTCTCTTCTGTGCAACCGTCCAGATCTGTTGCTTCTTTCTCTGAGTCTATTCTATTCGTTCCCTTTCCACACAGCATAAAGGGCCAGGAAGTAGAAAGCAAGTCACTAAGAGGTTGACCCCAAATTCAAAGCAGTTGTTTCCTTCACATCCTATTGGCCAGAACTCAGTCACATGACAGATGAAGCTGCAAAGGAAGCTGGAGAATGTATTTAGCAGGTAGCTATGGGCTCTGTGAGAACCTCGGGGTATTAATACTCAAAGGAAGTAGGAAAGGAAGCTTGTGTGGGGACAAATACACCACATTATAAACTAAATTGTACCACATTATAAACTACAAGTAACAGATTAACCGAGTAGTTTAAACAGTGTAAACAATAAATTCATTTATTAGCTTGTAGCATTTCAAGAGGCAAGGGTCCCAAGTGTCATTCAGGAACATTATGATACCAAGGACCCAACATTTTTTCATCACTTTGCCCTCGCTGCCTCAGCGTGTTGTGTGAATCCTTACTCTTTTCACCTTATGGTCACAAGATAGCCACCAAATTCCACACATCATATGAAGATACAAAAGTATGTGCAAAAGAAGAGAAGTGCTACCTCCTACGCACCTCTCTGTATTTGAGAGAAAACTTGGTTGCGACAGCAGACGCTTTCCACCTGCTCATTTGCCTCTGCCCCTCCCCCACAGTCACTGGGTCCAAGGGCTGCTATGACACCAGTGTCCTTGGTCCTGGGTTTTATTCATACCCACAGCAGGACCCGTTTCAAACATTAGACCCTTTGTGTTAGCATAATGTGGCTTCCAGCACCTTTCATCATCCCAGGCTCCTCAAAGCTCCTCCAGAACCAGTCGTATTTACAACACCCAGTTTCTCAAGTTTGTGGTTTGATTATCATAATTTCTTTGTGTCTACGCAGCCATCGCTATGGTTACCAGACCATCTGAACCTTGGCTTTAGAAACCTACTCTGCAAACATATGCCCAAGGGCCAGGCTAGTCATGGTCAGACTGGTCTGCCTTCTTCAAGCTCAGTTAAAAACTTTCAAGTAGCTCCTCGTTGTGCTTGGGATAAAGACCCAGTCCTAATTTATCTGAGGCCCTGCATTCTCTTCCGGATCCTTCTCCCACCAAGCTCTCCCTGGTTCTCTGCTCTTCGGACACCTTTGCCTTCTCTCAATCTTTGTGGCCCCAGGACTTCTGCGCTCACTATTTCCTCGGCCAGAAGCACTCTTCTTCCATCGTTTACACCTTTGCAGGCATCTTTCCATTCTCACCTCGAGGGGTGCTTCCCGGGGGAGAGCCCCTCCTGACCTCTCAGAAAGGAGGAAATCCGACTTTATAAGCTCCAGTGTTCCTGGCAACTTTTCCTCCTCTGTGCTGTTGCAGATTCCCTTTCGGTTTGCTTCAGTGACTGTTTCATGTCGGTCCTCCCCACTTGCTAGCAGCCCGATGAGCTTGTCTCTTTCCCCACACCCCAGCCACATCTGCGTGGAAAGACAACCGTGCTTAAAAGTGTGCTCGTGATCAAGAAAATAAAGCTGTATTTCAGTAGGGCCTCTTTTAGGTTATTTTTGGACCACTAAAGGAGAGGCACTGACAGCTTTTCGTTTGCCACGACATCTAAAGGTAGTTAGAGTGGATGGAAAAGCCCAGGGGCTCTGAATAGAAAATGCAATGATTCAGAGCTGGAAGACGGCAGAGTGTAAAGGTTGGATTTCCAAAGGCTGCAAGAAAGCAAGAGAAGACCATGGAAAGTTGAGCATTAAGGAAAGGGTGGCAGTGACATTCTTCATTGGGAACCTGTGGGTGGTGAAAGAGATTCAAGCATTACGTGGCTGTAACATAAGACCACTTTGGGGGGACATCCTAGGTCCAAACTACAATAACGGTTTATTTGGGGTGTCATCTCAAGAAATGGCAAGAGAGGAGGGAGGTGGAGACAGGAAGGTGACCAGGGAAAAGTGGGTTGGCAAGCTGGTTTCCACCCCTGGCAGCTGAAGCTCAGCCCTCATGGGGACAGGACCTGTGTGAGAGCACACGTCTCACACCTCGGGCAGGGTCTGGGTCCTTACAGGCCCCCTGGTGGTCCCTGGCTGAGGGTTGTTCCCAAGAGGTGTTGCTTCCTCTGTGCCCTGGCCCTGCACAGCCAGCTGAGCAAGGCCAAAAAGCTCAGCCTGGGCAATTTAGTGACTTAGAGCTTGGCTCAAAGCAAAACATTTTGAAAAGGCCTACAGACATAGCTTAGTATGAAAGCCTGGGCTCATTCTCCAGTGTTACCTCCACCAGAAAAAAATTTCCAGTCACAAAACTTCTCTCAGAGGGGAAAATACAATAAACACCCAATCACAATACGTAATACAGGGTGGGGGATTTTGCTCAGTGGCACCCCCGCTGCCTCATAAGCGCAAGGGCAAAGTCCTGAGTTTGATCCCCAGTACAAAAAACAAACAAATAAACAAGATACACAGTACAACAGCGATGATCGGTGTTTGCTCACCCGCTGCGGGAGAATCTTAGGAAGGCAGATACACAAATCCCCATCACCTGTGTGCACACAGTCCAGTCCTGCTCTCCCTTGAGGGTAACCTAGCTCCTTTTGGGGTTTTTTTGTTTTTTTAATTTTGATCAAGATAATTAACAGTGATGGAATCTGTAGTCACTACTTATTGCTGTATAACAAATTACCCCAAAACTTAATGACTTAAAGCAACAAACATTATAATCTCATGGTTTCTAGGATCAGGGATTGTATTATTGCCAATTTTGGGTAAGAGAGTTTTGGAGGTTTTTGTTGTTGTTTGTTTTTGCTCAATTCAAAGTGCAGCTCTGCTAGCAGTCCTGATGTCACCAGATAATGCTGGATGCCAACAGGTGACATAGCCA